ACAAGGTAGAGGTGGCAGACAGAATGGGGTGGCAGACAAGTTAAGGGGTGGCAGACAGGGTGGCAGACAAGTTAGGGGTGGCAGACAGGGTAAGGGGTGGCAGACAAGTTAGGGTGGCAGACAGGGTGGGGGGTGGCAGACAAGTTAGAAAGGGTGGCAGACAGGGTAGAGGTGGCAGACAGGGTAAGTGCTTGAACAAGTTAAGGGGTGGCAGACAGGGTAAGGGGTGGGAACAAGTTAAAGTTGGCAGACAAGTTAAGGGGTAGCAGACAAGTTAAGGGGTGGCAGACAGGGTAAGGGGTGGCAGACAAGTTAAAGGGTTGAACAGGGTGGGGTGGCAGACAAGTTAAGAGTGTGAACAGGGTAAGGGGTGGCAGACAAGTTAAGGAGTGTGAACAGGGTAGGGGTGGCAGACAGGGGGTAAGGGGGTGGCAGACAAGTTAGGGGTGGCAGACAGAGTGGGGAAGTAGCAGACAAGTTAAGGGTGGCAGACAAGTTAAGAGGTAGCAGACAAGTTAAGGGGTGGCAGACAAGGGTAGGGGTGGCAGACAAGTTAAGGGGGTGGCAGACAGGGTAGAGGTGGCGGACAAGTTAAGGGGTGGCAGACAGGAGTGAAATGGCTAGAACAAGTTAAGGGGTGGCAGACAGGGTAAGGGGTGGCAGACAAGGTAAGGGGTGTGAACAAGATAAGGGTGGCAGACGTAGTGAGGGTGGCAGACAAGTTAGGGGGTGGCAGACAGGGTAGGGGTGGCAGACAAGGTAAGGGGTGGCAGACAAGTTAGGGTATGAACAAGTTGGGGGTGGCAGACAAGGTAGGGGTGGCAGACAAGTTAAGGTGGCTGGCAAGGTGGGGGTAGCTGAGAGTGGGGTGAGACAAGTTAGGCAGTGGCAGACAGGGTAAGAGGTGGCACACAAGGTAAGGTGGCAGACTTGGTAGGGTGGCAGACAAGAAGGGGTGGCAGACAGGTGGGGGTGGCAACAAGGTAGGGGTGGCAGACAAGGGTGAGGGTGGCAGACAGGGTAGGGGTGGCAGACAAGTTAAGGGGTGGCACGGGGTAAGGGGTGAACAAGGTGGGGTGGCAGACAAGGTGAGGGTGGCAGACAGGAGTAAGGGGTGGCAGACAAGTTAAGGTGCAGAGGGTAGGTGGCAGACAGGTGGGGTGGTAGACAAGGTAGAATGTGGCACTAGCCTGCATCTAAGCTAGGTGTAGAGTGAATGTAAATAATTACCCCACACACCCCCACCTCCACCCACCCCACACTTACACTACTCCCACTATCACCACCAATACCACCACCACCACCACCTCACCCATCACCCTCACCACCACCCCCCCCTCACCATCACCTCACCACCATCACCCTCACCATCACCCCACCACCACCACCCTCACCCACCACCACCACCACCACCACCACTACCACCCCCACCACCACCACCCTCACCATCCACCACACCATACCACCACCACCACCACACCCCCCCCACCACCACCCTCCCACCATCACCCTCCCACCACCACCACCACCCATCCACCCATCACCCTCACCACCCTCACCACCCACCACATCACTACTCACCACCTCACCACCACCACCATCACCACCACCACCACCACCACCACCAATCACTACTACCTACCCTCACCACCACCACCATCACTACCACCCACCTCCCACCATCACCACCACCACCAACCACCATCACACCACCACCACCACCACCACCCTCACCATCACCCTCACCACCCTCACCACCACCACCACCATCACTACCACCACCTCACCCACCACCACCATCCACACCACACCCACACCACCACCACCATCCTACTACCACCCCTCACCACCCTCACCACACCCCTCACCACCCTCCCACCACCCCTCACCACCACTCACTACCCCTCCCACCACCACCCACCACCACCACCACCACTAGACCCTCAGCCACTCAGGTGCTCACCTGCCCATGATTCAATTAAAGTATGTTTAGCGTAAGTTGATAAACAATGGCCACTGGACCACCATGGTGAGGTGGGCGGCAGATGAGAGGTGGTGAGTGGCAGCATGTGGGTGTTGAGGTGGGTAGAAGTGGCTGGAGTGTGAGGTGGGTAGGAAAGAGTGAGGTGGTAGTGGGAGAAGGTAGTGGTGGTGGAGTGTGGTGATGGAGTGAGCAGGTGAGTGGAGTGGGAGTGAGGTGGGCAGGAGGTGAGGTGGGCAGGAGGTGAGGTGGGTGGTGACAGTGGGTGGCAGTGAGTGGGCAGGAAGTAGGTGGGCAGGAGGTGAGGTGGGTGGCAGGTGAGGCAGTAGGCCTGGTATAAGGTGGTCTTTTCTCCTCCTCTGTTATTAGGCCATCTCTGCACATGCCTCCACCACATGCCTCACACCATGCCTCACCACCATGCCTCCACCACCATGCCTCCACCACACCATGCCTCACCACCGCCCTCACACACCATGCCTCACCACCGCCTCCACCACATGCCTCCCACCATGCCTCCACACATGCCTCACCATGCCTCACCACCATGCCTTCCTTATATCGCTTAGGTAGGTTACGTTGGAGACGTTATGTGGGTTTGGTTAACATTAGGGTGTCTAATCTTCAGGTGGTCCAACACACACACACACACCGGTAGCTCGTCAGGAACCGATTATAACGTCCAGTTAACATTCACTTCAGATAAACTATTGTGCCAATTAGCGATAAACCACACACGGTAACCGGAGCTGACAGCCTCCTCCTTCTCTCCCTCACTCCTTCCTTCCCTTCCTTCTCTCCCTCACTCCTTCCTTTCCTTCCTTCTCACCCTCCATTACCTGCCTGCCGCTCTATCTCCCTTCACTTCCTCCCTTCCCCTTCTGTCTCTCCCCCCCTTCCTCTCTCCTCCTCCCCTCTCTCTCCCTCCCCATGTAGCCACAATCGGCGCCGCGTCAAGAGTTACTGACAGCTGCGTTTTTCTTCAATCACGGACGCCACTTGAGCTGTGGCGGTCGTCATTTAGAGGAGGAGAGAGAATTGTAGTGGAGTAGGGATGAGAGGAGAAGAGGAGAGAGAGTAGGGAGAAATGAGAGAGAAGAGGCAGCAGTAGTGGCCCCACAGGAGTCCCACCAATCTAAAATAGTGAAGTCTGTCACCTTATTACTACACGTCCTCTCTACTCCTCCTCCTCCTCCTCCTCCTCCTCCTCCTCCTCCTCCCTCCTCCTTCTTTTATCTCCTCCTCCTCAATCTTCTTCTTCCTCCTTCCTTCTTATTCCTCCTTCCTCCTCATTCTTACCTCCTCCTTCTCTTCCTCTCCTCTTCCTTTTCCTCCTCTCCTCCTCCTCTTCCTCTCCTCCTCTTCCTCTCCCTCCCCCTCCTCCTCCTCCTCCTCCTCTTCCTCCTCTGCACCTTATTTGAAATTCCAAGAGCATTATTTTAACTGGGGTTTGTTTAGGTGAGGGCGTAGTTACCAGACGTCAGGAGGCTGGCTCATATTTCATCACTCTAAGATGGATTTGTGTTCGCTGGTTTGTGTTTGATTAATAGTCTAGTGTTGAGAGAGAGAGAGAGAGAGAGAGAGAGAATCCCTTTGTTGTGTTGTTGGGAGAAGAGAGATGTTGGGTTAAAGGGAGTAAAGGGGGACGAAGGAGGAGGAGGAGGAAGGAGTGGGGAGGAGTTGATAATAGCTACCTGGTATCAATTGACTGGTAGGCTAAATGGTTGGGTTAAGCTGCTGTGTGTAGAGGACGGCGAGGGTGTCTCTCTCTCTCTCTCTCTCTCTCTCTCTCTCTCTCTCTCTCTCTCTCTCTCTCTTCTCTCTCTCTCTCTCTCTTGTGTACATTAACCTGACTGTAAACAATGGTTAATACACACACTGATAATGATCACCTTACTTGTGTTCTCACCTGAGCTCTGGGGGCGGGGCCGTCAAGAGCAGGTCCCCAGCAGTGCCGCCGTCAGAACACAGCGGGAGAAGAATCCTGCCGTAGGATTCCTCAGCCCTCGATTATAATAGATTTAAGGACTGGGAGGTGGTCGAGTTTGACTCCTGGAGGTGCTGTGGGCGTGGTGGGGTTTGGTGGGCGTGGGGGGGTTTGTGGACATGGTGAAGGTTTTATGGGCGTGTGGGAGGTTTGGTGGAGGTCTTGTGGGCGTGTGGGTTGGTGGGCGTGTGGGAGGGCTGGTGGGCGTCTTGTGCTCCCCTATTCTTCTTTTTGGTTCTTCCTCTTCCTCGCCCTCCTCCCCACCTCCTTCTCTTCCTCCTCCTCCTCCCCCGTGGACAGATGCCTACAGATAGCAGTACTCATGACCATCGGCTCATCACCTCCAGATAACACGGATGGAATGTACATACCTCCATCGTCTCCTACGTCACTCATGGTGGTAATGGTGACGTCACATCGCCTCAGTTACCTGGTGGGGAACTGTCATAGGACTTTTGTTCTCCTTGGGTCCTACGATACTTTAAGGTTCCTATTATGGTTGTTTGGGGTCCTATGATACATTAGGGATTCCTTACGACAGTCTGTTGGAGTCAAGAGTGTTGTGATGCCCTCGGTGGGTCGTGGGTGGGTCAGGGGTGGGTCAGGGTTCTCGTGTGAGGGATAAATATTTGGGGGGATTTAGGCCAGGTGGACATACCTGTTGTGATGTTCTCTAATTAATGAAGTTGTGGAGGCTGTATTACCCAGGTTGTTGGTGTTGTCGTTATTATCGCTGTTGTTGTTATTTTTTTTATTATTAGTATTACTGTTGTTTTTTTCTTGTTGATGAATTATTGTTGTAGTTGTTGTTGTTGTTGTTGTTGGTTGTTAGAAGTCGTTTTTGTCTTAATGAAGATCTTAGTTATAATTTTAATGATACTAACGTCACAGTAAAAATATTTAATAATAATAATAATAAAACAACAACAATCAACACAACAACAACAGTAACAACACAACAAAACGTATTAAATCCCATAATCCCCGTAAAACACTCATTAACCTAATCCACACCTGTTTGATTACCTTCAGCACACCATCAAGATGCCTGAAGGAGATTGGGAGAATGGCAAGTCCCAGGTGCTGTGTGAGGGCAGGAAGTCAGGCACAGAGAACTCCTTCGTGTGCCGCTACTGCCAGAGGGTCTTCCGCAAGAGTTACAATCTGCTCATCCACGAACGTTCACACGAGGACCACGCCAAGTGTCACTACGATGTGTTCCGAGTTCGATCAAGTCTGCAGGTGAGAGTTCAGTTTGTGTTGTGGGGTGTGTGTGGTGTGTGTTGTGGGGTGTGTGGTGTGTTGTGGGGTGTGTGAGTGTGTGAGAGTGGGTGTGGGGTGTGTGTTGGGGATGTGTGGGTGTGTGGGGTGTGTGTTGTGTGGTGTGGGGTGTGTGAGGTGTGTGTTGTGTGGGTGTGGGGTGTGTGGGGTGTGTGTGAGTGGTGTGGGGTGTGTTGGGGATGTGTGGGTGTGTGGTGTGTGTGTGTGTGGGTGTGGGGTGTGTGATGTGTGTGTGTGGGTGTGGGGTGTGTGGGGTGTGTGAGAGTGGGTGAGGGTGTGTGTTGGGGATGTGTGGGTGTGTGGGGGTGTGTGTGTTGTGTGGGTGTGGGGTGTGTGAGGTGTGTTTGTGTGGGTGTGGGGTGTGTGGGGTGTGTGAGTGGGTGGGGTGTGTTGGGGATGTGTGGGTGTGTGGGGTGTGTGTGTGTGTGGGTGTGGGGTGTGTGGGGTGTGTGTTTGTGTGGGTGTGGGGTGTGTGTTGGGGTGTGGGGTATGTGTGGTGGGGTGTGTGGGGATGTGGGGTGTGTGTGGGGTGTGTGAGGTGGTGGGGTGTGGGGATGTGCGTGTGGGTGAGGGTGTGTAGGGGATGTGTTGTGTGTGTTGATGGGGTGTGTGTGGGGAGAGAGAGATGGTTGTGTTAGAAGGTGAGAGAGAGAGAGAGAGAGATGGGGAAGAGAGAGAGAGAGAGAGAGGGGGGGGGAAATAAAGTCAGAATAATAACAGAGAGAAGCGTAAGAATCAACAATAAAAATACTCACAAAAAATAAAAATTTATAGAAAAACATAAACGTGAAGAATAAAACATAAGAGATAATTAATGAGTAAATTAATAGTTATTTGAGTTATTTGTAATATTTGGTACATACATACATACATACATACATACATACATACATACATACATACATACATACATACATACATACACTACATGACCCTTGACCAGTGCCAACAGTGTACAGTCAGCCACCGACCCCACCTGAGTCTCTTACCTGGCAATACCTGGTGAAGTACAGGTCATTAGTGGGTCTGTTTCCGGCTGTATTACTGTTAGGATAAATATTAAACAATCCAAAGGTAGAATTGTTATAATAATAAACTATTCGTTGTTATTTAAGATCATGAGAAGTTTCTAAATATTAGTATATTTGTTTAAATAATGAAGAAAATATATTAATGAATTGGCAGCTCAACTACAACCAGGAATGAGGACTGCCACAAGAGTCTCAGACCAAATTTTCTTCATTATTTAAACAAATATACTAATATTTAGAACCTCATGATCTTAAATAACAACGAATAATTTATTATTACCTAATTGATTATCTAACAATAACAACCAGAAACAATGAGACTCAGGTGGGGTCGGTGCTACTCTAACCCGTAGTGTTGATGACGTCATACACTGTGGCTTACGCCTCTCTTGTGTTATTGTTGTTGTTGTTTTTACTTGTTTCTTTGTTGTGTTTCATAACTTTTTTGACATTTATGTGTTTGTTTGTTTATATATTTTATTTCATGTGTATAATATGAATTAATTATTATATTAGTTATTAATGTTATATAATTGTTGTCATGTTATATTGATATTATATAAGTTAATACTAAGAACTTAAGCGATCAGCTGTTGTGGTCACGTTACGTCACGTTGCGTCACGTTGTGTGTGTGTGTGCGTCTTGTTGACCAACTCTACGTCATCCCTGTGTAGCATGACGTCACAGTTGTTGTCGGCACCTCCTCCTGAGTAGCATTCATCATATTTTCTTATAGTAGTTTCTTCTTGCAGGTGTATGGAATGTCATGAAGCACTAATATGTAGATGCAGGTAAACACCGATACCTTTCTCTATAGTGGCTTCTGAATGCTTTTGTTATTATGACTACGATTACAGCGCTTTACGGGCAATGGCTGGCTGGCTTATTAATGTTGCTTTTGTGTTCTTGTTATGGTGTGACTTAGCAAAATGGCCAACGCTTTTGCTGCGACGCTCTCAAATGTTTGTTTGTTTATAAAATCATCATTATTCTGTTCTGATGCGACAAAAACAAAGAGCTAACATTTATATCATTAACTTTGGCAGAGAAATTTGACTTAATTTATTTTTTTCTTTATCTCGACAGGAATTAAAAAATTACAACTATGCAACGCTGACTTATAAACTGTGGTGAAGAGGCTGTGTACTGAAGCTCTCTGACCGCCCGCCCGCCCGCCCGCCCCTCCCAACACCTACAAGATCTCCAGTCATCGATAAAGTCTCCTCGTCCTAGCCCACCATCACAAGAACTTCCTACTACTGCCGCCACCTCCTCCTCCTCCAGCAGCTGTCTCTCCTTCTGCACTAGTTTCTGTGTTTTTTCTTGTTTTTTTGTGTTTTTTCTTCGTTTTTATTGTGTATGGAAAGTGTCTGGTGTTAGTACGAGGTTTTGTTGTCATTCTTCCATTCTTCTAAAGCTGCTGATGATGCTTCGCTGCCTCGTTGAGTTACTCCCCATTGTCTTCCCCAAGCTTGCATCACGCCTTCCTCCCTTACCTCCACATTCCCTCCATTTATTCACCATCTACCCCCCCTCCCTCCCCCATCCCCCCCTCACAGTTCTCCTCCATCCCCCTCCTCTCTTCCTCTTCCTCCCCCCCCCACCCCTCGCCTGGAGTAAACCAACCAACCATGTGATGTGTATAGACCCCCAACATTGCCTGAGTGGTGTAAACAACAAATAAAACACTCACTCTTGTTATTATTTTAGTCATGAGACGAGAAAATCACTTCAGTGTAATGTGATAAAAATTTATATTTTTTTTATTTTGTGATTTAAGTTGAAATTTGTGATAGAGATTTAATCAAGAATTTTTTATTTGATTTTAATTTATTTTATTGAAATTTGAGTTTTGTGAGACTTTTAATTTGATTGTAAATTTTAGTTTTTTTTTTTTTAAGAATTAAGTTGAAAGTTTTATGATAGAGAATTAATTAAGATTTTTTTTACCTTGATTGTAAATTTTTATTTTTTTTTATTATGAATTAAGATAAAATTTATGTGATGGAGAAATATGTGGTCAGGAGGGTTACCAAGATGGAAGCATGAGGGAGCAAGACAGTGACATCCCACCACAAGTGTAATACCCATTAGGTCGAAATTTCATCAACTTTCAGAACAATCTCCAACATACCCAACCAGCCAATCAACCAATAGTAACTGTAGTTGTGTAAATCCGAGTGTTATGATTGGCTGATGTCAAAACACTTGTGGAATGATGTCATACTTGCTCCTCCTGACGTCAGCGGTTGTAATAGCTTGCGTTATATGTTATAAGTATATAGTGTTTATTGTTTAAGATGAGGGGCAGACAAGGCACCATAAATCACCATAAACAAACATTAATAAATAAATTAATCCCTTTACGTCACAAAAAATCATTTCGCCCCCCCAAAAAACCATTAACAAAAATACATTATAACTCCTATAGCACTTTGTCTGCCTCTGTTATATTGGAAAATCCCAGTAAAGCTTTATAATGATTTATATTATAAAATTATATAGTGTAAGTAGACTATATAGTAGTATGGTTAAGTACGTGTGTGTAGGCTGGGCTATCGTGAACTCTTACAGTGCCAAGGTGTGTGTAGGCGGAGTTCTTTAGTGTGCCAGTACCTCTGTTCACACTCCTTTATATTGATCTTATATTGAATAAATTGCTTGGCTTATTCACCATATTTTCATTCCTGTCCTTAAATTTATCTGTTTGTTATATAAAGTGTGACACCATACACACACACACGCACACACACACACACACACACACGCACACACACACACACGCACACGCACACACACACACACACAGGTATACAAATTTCTATATAAACAAGTTCCAATAAAGAAAATACACTGATTTATTCACCTGAGTTCCTTAATTAACTTACCTGTTATGATCTAACTTACCTGTGATGTGAGTATCTGAGTCACAATGAGTCATATTTGGGTCATTCAGGAGATATTTGAATCAGAATGAATCACGTGAGGTCATTATGAGTCACCTGAGTCTGCCTGAATCACCTGGAATCCCAAGTCAACTGCCTGAGTCAGTGCGAGTCATCTGGAGACGGTGGGTAGGTTACTGAGCCATAATGAGTCATCAGGTTTCCCGAAGGAGCTGCTAGAGTCAGAGAGAATCAGTTGGGGTAATGGAAGGTTTCTTGAGTCAGATGAGTCACTTGAAGTTAAATACTGACTCACTGTAAGTCACATGAGGACAAATGAGTCCACACACACACACGCACACACACACACACACACACACACACACACGCACACACACACACACAGTTTTAACCACCGTCTCACTTAACCACTGTACCTGACTGATGAGGTGACCCCTACTCCCTGTGTGTGTTTTAGCTCTAATTCTACTCATCAATGGAAAATATGTACATCAGATGTGTACTAAGTAGAGCTAATGTACTAATAAGTGTATACAAGGTTTAGTTAATGTGTTGTGGGTGTACATGAGGTGCACACATAAATTAAATCACAAAATGTACAAGATGTGTACATAAAATTAACTTACATACAGTGAACATAGATTCTACGTACATGGTACACATGAGATTACACAAAAATTACACATCTTGTACAAATAGGTACTCATAACATACATACATACATACATACATCTCATCAGTCCATATAGCAGACGGACTTCCAAACAAAAAATACCTCACTAGTCGGGAATCGAACCCTGGACCTCTGCGTGTGAACAGGGCTCGCTACCACCAGTTTTACATCCATATAGGCAGAACTCACACAGCCTCAAACCCACACCGTTCCTTATATTCTCTCTGTTTCACCATCCCGTACACAGGTCCACTCAGTTTCACCCTAAGAAAAAAACTTAAGTAACTTATCTATGAATTCTATCCACAAATTTCTCTTCAAAGCTCAAAGTTCAGTTAAAGAATTCAATAAAACTAAAGACACCACATCCACAGTCCTCAGATGTTTACCAATTTACGTGAGGTAGTTGCAGGGCGGCAGGACTCATATAGGTCAAACACAAAGACAATTGATAACCACTTGGGTCGTTTAGTTCGAACAGTTCAATTAATCACACAACGACCTCATTCAGCTTTTTTTAACCACTACCACCAACATGACCATCCGTTTTGCAGTCTGTTTTCTCAGTTCTTGGCAGGAGCAACTGTGAGACGGACCTCCTCATTATGGAAACCTTGCGTCAGTATAAAGTAAAGTCATCCATTTGTGTTATAACTTCCTGTGAACTGTTGTCTTACTCACTAAGGCTCAACTCAAGGTAATAATCCTCTGTATATATTTATTTTTTCAGTTTTGTATGAACCTGTAGGTCTCCCATCATTATTATTGGTTTTAATTTATAATGCTCTTTTTAAGAAATTGGCCGAAGGTAAATTTTAGAATAATGTTCCGTTTTTATTGTATATTACCTGTAAATTTTTGTTAAACTTTAGGTCTGTTATCTACAGTTGGCTCTGATGGTGGAACACGATTTTCCGAAACGTTATTAATTAAAGAAACTCAACTTAGTCAACAAGTTTGTGAGGCCCTCTGTTTCTCCTCTTCGTTATGAAACTACGCTTTCCACGTAACAACCCCATTGCTGAATACACATACATACTGTTACGCCGTCTCTTAATTTACTTAAATATCCAGGTTCTAGACGTAACCAAACAAAAAGTGAAGTAAATTAAAAGAGAATAAAAATAAAGTAAACCTTTAAGAATTTAATTAATTAAATATTAACACAATAAAGAGCCTCGTAGGCTGTCACAACAAATTGATTCACCATCGAAACTTTTAAGACACAAATGATACTAAACATCGAAAGAATAAAAATAAAGCATTGGATTACGTTAACACTGCATAAACATGTAAAAACTATCACTGAAATTAACTAACGTGAAACAACACTGAATTACTTGAATACAACTAAGCAAATACTGATGGACACAAACAGAGACATAAATAGGTACTCACATAGATATACCACATTGGTGGCGACAGGAACAACACAAATAAATTAAGTTTAAGTAACAAGTGACACACAAAGGATGTGAACTGTATGACAAGAGGACTGAACTAACTCAAGTCAGTTGGTGGGTCCTATAAATAAGATGGACTTGAACAAATAATGACAGTTAAAACCTTAACAGCACAGGGTAAGGTGACTAGAATATATAATAGTAAATTTAACACATCATTACAGGAATAATATGGAACAACATGGGAGCATGTTATATATATAAAAAAAGAAAAAATACGACACGGTCGTAACAATACATACATACATACATACATACATACATACATACATACGGACAGAAAAATAGCATATGTAATACAAAGAAGTATACAGATTGGTAATGACATCACCCATTGCTGTAGCACCTGGCGGGGGTCACCTGTGGGGGGTTACCTGGCTAGGGGGGTTGGGTTACCTGTGTGAGGGTGGGGGGTCACCTGGTTGGGGGGGTTGGGTTACCTGTGTGAGAGTGGGGGGGGGAGTCACCTGGCGGGTCATGATGTCAGAAGTTGTCATGAATAATACAAATGTTCGTGAGTCAGTCCACCAGCCGCCATGACTCATCAATTTTTCCTTCAATAATAGTAATTTATTTCCTCTGTATTTACATAAGACATGGAACATTTTTTGTGAGTATTTGTGACTTTTTGTGAGTATTTGTAGGTTTTTGTGTGAGTTTGTTGGTTTTTCTGAGTTTTTGTGAGGATTTGTTGGTTTTTGTGTGAGTTTTGTGAGTTTATTGTGAGTTTTTGTTTGTTTTTGTGTGATTTTTTGTGAGTATTTGTGGGGTTTTGTGAGTATGTCTGAGTATTTCTGAGTATTTGTGTGAGTATATGTGTGTTTTTCTGAGTATGTGTGAGTTTTTCTGAGTATTTGTGAGTTTGTTAGTTTTTTGTGATTTTTTTGTGAGATTGTATGGGTATTTGTGGGTTTTTGTGAGTTTTTGTTAGTTTTTGTGAGAATATCGGAGTAATTTTGTCTCCAAATTGATGTTCAGTGATTGAATCCAACACTCGTCACTACTGTACAACTGACAGACAAGACAGACAGACACGAGACAGAGACACACACACAACTGTCAGTCGTCTGTCAGTTAGTAATCTATCAGCCAAAGTTGTCAGTTAGTGAAGCAGTAAACTCCGGGAGACAGCCGAGGCCCCACACGGGTATGAGGTGAAAATGGTTCCCACACATGTTAACACAAGCCTGCCCGCCAGTCTCTTCCTCTCCCTGACCAAAATATTTATTATCGTGGCCGCAAGAGTGTTATGGAGTGGTGCTGGGATAATCTGGACACTATGGGGAGCCCGTGGGATCTCTCGGGACACTGTGGGGTGCCCGTGGGACATCCTAAGGCAGTGTAGGATGGTGTAATGTGTGGCTGTCCTCGGCTCGTCAGGGATAACACTAGTGGGTGACAGGAACATTTTTGTGTCTGGGATTAAGATTCTCGCTTATGTGTTTCTCTAAGTTAATGTACGGCGCTGGGAGTGTCTGTCTTTGGTGA